TCACTACAATAGTAATGAAACCAGAACCAGCATCCATCCCTTCTTAGTGATTTTTTAAAAATGACCTCCCAAAAAGAGAAGAGACGAGAGGACAGTCTAAAACAGGGATTCCTGGATGTTGAGGTTAGTGGATGCTCTGGCCTGTCACTGCTCTGATCCAGGCTGCTGTGAACAATCCTTTTCTCTTGTGAAGGGTAAACTCAGCTTTTCAGCTTTATATAAAATAAAAGCATAGCCCAATTTTCTATTTTGCCTGTTCTAAAGCCTGGCAGTTTTGAGGTTAAAAATGGAAGATGAAGCTGAATCCAACTGTTGGTTATTTGCAGAAGGAAAAAATCTTTCCCTGGCCTCCATGTTAGGTCTCCAGCTGTAGCGCCACCAGCACCAGCCAAAGACATCCAAGCAGGCAAGAGAAAATGTTAATTGGCATGTGCATTGCACTTACATATGGCAGTACCTGGCAATGAATAACCCAAAGTGGGGTCAGAACTTGGGTTCATCTATCATCTTAGGCTGACACAAAGGAAAAGGCCTGGAGCTTCTGGGCAGGAGAGGCATGTTGTGGGAAGGTGTCTTGGTCTATTTTGTGCTGCTGTAACAGAATGCCACATACTGTGTAATTTATAAAGAAAAGTGGCTTATCAGGCTCATGGTTCTGAAGACTGGGAAATCAAGAGCATGGCACTGGCATCTGGTGAGGGCCTTTATGCTATTGTTGTCCTGGGAGGAAGGAGGGTGGGGGCAAAGGAGAGGAAAGAGACAGAACAAGAGAGGGCCAAACTCATTTTTATAACAACCCACTCCCACAATGGCATTAATCTATCCTTGAGGGTGGAGGCCTCATGGCCTAATCACCTCTGAACAGTCCTACCTCTTACACAATGGCAATTAAATTTGGGCCATGAGTTTTGGAGGGTGATTCAAACCTCAGCAGAAGGTGCCCAGGAAAAGTATGGTAAACAAGGGTTCTTTAGGAAGGTTTGTTATGCAATAAGTCAGTACCTTCTTCCATTGATAAGAGTTGTTATAAGATATCTCTTCCTTGCATGGAAGAGGGAGACATGGAAATTTCCTTTATAATAAATGTGAATTTCTTTTACAAAATAAAAACGGTTTTTAGAGCCTTTCCTGTGGTCTGCTGGTTCATTGCCTTAACTCAAAAATAATCCACATGCAAAGAGGCATATTTTTGGGGTGGCATATCCCAGTGCCTCCCCTCAGATGCTTGTTTTGTGAACTGTCCATGGGATGCCCACCTCAGGACCTTTGCATTTGCTATTTCCCCAGATTCATTCATTCCTTCTTTTTTTTTTTTTTTTTTTTGTGACGGACTCTTGCCCTGTAGCTAGACTGTGCATCTCAGCTCACTGCAGCCTCCACCTTCCTGTTCAGCATTCTCCTGCCTCAGATTCCCAAGTGCTGGGATTACTGGTGTTACTCATGCCCAGCTAATTTTTGTATTTTTGGTAGATACAGGGTTTCATCATGTTGGCCAGGCTAATCTCTGAACTCCTGGCTTCAAGTGATCCACCCACCTTGGCCTCCCAAACTGCTGAGATTACAGGTGTGAGCCACTGCACCTGGTCCATTCTTTCACTTTTTTTAGTCTCAGCTCAAATATCACCTCCTGTAACTAACAGCTCAACCTGCTTTTCTTCACAATACTTTATCTGTGAATCATTTATTTGAAAATGATGGCCAGGTGTGGTGGCTCACACCTGTAATCCCAGCATTTTGGGAGGCCGACGCGTGGCAGATCACCTGAGGTCAGGATAAAGAGCAGCCTGGAAACATATGAAACCCGTCTCCACTAAAAATACAAAAATTAGCTGGGCATGGTGGCGGGCGCCAACCCAGCTGGGAGGCTGAGGCAGGAGAATTGCTTGAATCCAGGAGGCGGAGGTTGCAGTTAGCAGAGATTGCACCACTGCACTCCAGCCTGGGTGACAGAGCAAGACTCCATCTCAAAAGCATTAATAAACAAATAAATAAATAAAATAACCTGAAATGGCTGAGATAAATTAATCAATTATTTAGCCACTCCAGCAATAGATGTGCTGAGAGGTGAAGAGACATGATGATGAGAGGGCTCCTCCTCGCATCAACCATGTGCATTATGAAGAGTCACACTCGTGAAGATTCAGTATTGACTCAAGTCGCTGCAGTGGAGAGGGGAAGGACCATGGCGGCTCCCAGGAAGAAGAAATTACATCTGGGCAAGATAACTGTTAAAGAAAAAAATCAATAGCATTTGTTAAAGCATGTACCAAAGACTTTATTCATACCATCACATAGGTACAGGGACCACTGCAACAGGGTCTTGCGGCAGGGGAGAGAAACTGGGCTCAACTCCAAAAACAGCATGGGCAAGGGTACTTAGCCAAGGACCAGGGGAGGGGTCAGTGATGGACAGTTATTAAAAGGACACTTCAGGGGGTCTTGAGATTACAAAGCAAACCACTCACAGGATTCCTGCTGGCAGGCCAGGTGATTGGACATCATGGGGATGGTGGCACGGGAGCCTGACTGGGGATGTCACCGAGGGGATCAGCTATCAGGACAGGGAGTCCTTTTGGCAACTGGATAAAGCAGGGATTACTAAACGTGAGGTCACAGGAAGTGTACAATGGCCCTAGGAGAAGGCTCAGAAGCCTGACTAGAGTTTGGTCAAAGAATTTTTGTCAGGATCTTAGAAAATTTCATAAAGTGTAGCTCTGAAAGAAAGGACTTAAAATTTATTTAACCAGAGCAATACAGAATTAAAGTCAATCCAGTAAGAGAATATATAAGGCCTTAAATCAACAACCATTAGTGAAGTCTGTGGCCTCTAGTTTTTCTTTTTCAATAAAAACTTACTCCACCAAAAGAAATATTGTGGAAAAAACAGGAAATACAAAATATATGGAGAAAATAAGGAAACCCCCCTGATAATTCTTCCATTCAGAAATAACCAGTGTTTAGGGTTTGGATATGCACCTGTGTTTCTAACACAGCAGTCCTTGTGAGTCACATGTGCTTATTTAATTTAAATTTAACTGACTCAAATTAAAATAATATTTAAATCATTACTGTCATTTCTGCATTACATCCTTATTTTGTCTTTCATTTATCAGCATTAGTCATCTATCACACCTTCTCAGCTAGCTATTAAAATAGTCATTCCTTTTAGCAGCAGTGGTTTATGATATTAACTTTGAGTATAGATAATTTTGTTCCGGGCTTGTGCAGTGGAGCAGGGCTTGGCTGGGGTGAACCTGGCTGTTTCTATTAGCTGTGTGGGCTTAGGGCAGAGTTAACTTCCTGTGGCTCACCTTCTCCATTGTCAAGCAGGAGTAATAGCAGGCTATTTGCAGAGATCAGGAGTTAATATACGTACACTGCAAGTAATGATCAATAAGTGTCAGCTCCTCCATTCTTTGCCAGGTGTGCACCACAGCTGGGGGATTAACCTTTACCACACCACAGCAGAAAACATATATTTTACATAGCTTGCTTTTTGTCTTGTGAAGCTTTGCTTGAACTCTATTCCCCAGAGTGGTAGAAGTGGTCATGGGGCACTATCCTTTTTTTGACTTCTGAATTGCCAGATCACCCTCAGAGAGATTGTATAAGTGTTTGGAGCTATAGCTGCTTCCGACTCCCACAGCCCTGTCATCTGTGCTCCGGCCCGATCTTGTTGGCTCCAGAATCCCTAGGATATAGTGCAGGAGTGAATCCCGAGCTGGAGCTGGGTGGGCTGTGGGGTCATTCCAGATTGATTAACCTCCGACCTCTGAAGTCTGCAGGTGGAAGGGGCTCCAGGTAAGAAGATAACTTTGAAGCATCACACCAGGAAACCTACTGCACCTGGACTTTTATGACATCTCCCGCGGGCAATTTTTACCTCCATGAAATTCAGTGAACCTCGCAGCCGCCCAGCCCAAGACTCACTATGTGAGCAAACCGGTAGTCTCACAAAACGGGTGTACTGACCCACTGCAATGAGGGAGCGCCTCCCAAGAACGAAGGGAAAGGCAGAGTTCATGGGAATGGGGAAGGCAGAGTTTAGGTGACCTTACATGAAGCAGGCTCCCATAGGCTGAGGCCAGCAGGACTGTGTCTCCGTGGGGGACCAAGTGGGAAGACGCCTATCTGGGAGCTGCAGCCTGGGTTGGGATGGCGGAGGCTAAATCTTGGTTAGTGGCTGAGCTCCCCGGCCAGACAGGCATGTGTCCTTCTCCCTGCTGTAATCTCAAAGCGGACAGCGTCTGCCGGGTGGTTTCAGGAGCAGGGTTTCTCCGAGGGCTAGGGGGCTGCGGTCCCTCCGGAGGCGGGTCATGGTGGTACTTGGCTGGTATGCCTCGCGCCCTCGGAATGGGCGTCTCCCGTTCGCTGGCAGTTCGTTTTCCACGTCGCCATCGGCCTGGAGTGGCAAATAGCTGGCATTTCAGAGCCGCCCTGTCTCCTGACACAGAAGACCGACCCAGCAGGCGTTGGTGGATGCCTTCGCTGTAATCAGTTTCGAACGTTTACCAGGCCTCGGCCACGGCCTGGGCCCAAGATCCTTCCGCGAGGCACCTGGTGGACCCGGTGTAGGCGTGGGGACTGGCCCCAGGGAACCCCCCAGGGCCTGAGAGCAGGGCCCTCCCACCCGCCCCGGGCTGGCAGGAGCGGCCAGGACCGCACGCTCCAAGGCCCCGGGTCTCTTGCCCCCTCCAGTCGCTCCCACTTCGCTGAAGCCTGCCCAACGAGGGGCAAACCCCCAATCTCAGATGGCATGGACAGGTCGCTGTTGCCTCGACCACACCACAGCGCTCTCAGCCGTGAGCCTGACGCCCGCCCGCCCTGCCCCCGTGGCCCCCCTACCTCCCCGGAGGCCCCGCCCCGGCGCAGCGCGCAGGCGCTGCCCGTCCCCGCCGCAGAGCCGCAGCGCCGGGCGCCAGAGCAGTTGAACCATCCAGGCGTTCCCGTGTCCCGCCGCTTTCCTTCTCCATCTCTTCTCCTCCGCCTCGGCCAGCGCGATGGCGAAGCCGCTGACGGACAACGAGAAGCGGAAGCAGACTGGCGTGCGCGGCCTGGTGGGGCTGGGCGACGTGGCTGAGGTGCGGAAGAGCTTCAACCGGCACTTGCACTTCACGCTGGTCAAGGATCGCGAATGTGGCCACGCCTGCGACTACTTCTTGGCGCTGGCGCACACGGCAGGGACCACCTGGTGGGCCGCTGATCCGCACGCAGCAGCATTTACTACGAGCGCGACTCCGTGAGGAGCTGCCCTGCCTCGCGCCTGGCCCGCTGGAAAGGGCGCCAGTCCCGGAGCCGCGCCAGCGGGGGTCTCTTTGCGGGGCGGCTCCGCTGGGGCGTTTCGCGCCCGTCTCCCGGCCGGCGGCCAGGCACAGCCCTCTGGGAGTCAGCCTGGAAGCCGCGGTCGGCGGGGCCGGGCGTCTCCCTGCGCAGGACCGCGGCCAGTCCCTCCACCAGAGCCCGCGCCCTCCCCGGGGCACATGATGCCGAGCTCCGGAGCCTGGCGGATGTTCCGGTCTCTTTTCTGGCCGTGCGCTTCCCGCGCTGGCTGCAGAGCTCGCTCCCCTGCCCTGCCTCCAGCCACCTTTTGTTTTCCTGCAGCAGCCTGTGGGAGAAGATGGGACTGGAACCCGGCCTGGGCAGCCTTGTGGGTTGGAAGAGGGTGAGAGCTCGGTAATATGCAGGGAATTGTGAGATTCTTTTTGTGTGTGCGCTGCTTAGAAGAAAATCAAGGAAGATGCCTCGCTTCACGCAGGATGGTACGAAGCTCAGAGCTGAGATGGAGCTTCTGCAGAAGGCTCTGTCTTAGAGGTTCCCATACTTCCCCTTGGAGAAATTCCCATTTAAGTTAAAGTTCATAGAGATTGCCTCGCTAATTGTTACTTTTTATATCTTGCAAAAATTTGTTTGAGAAGTTGAAGTCACTGATTGTCCCTGCTACTCTTAACCATATTAACTATGGGCCTGTGTTCCTGCCGGTTTTTTGGTGTTCCTAAACGTACATACACATTTTTAAAAAGTATAATGCACATACAGTTTTTTAGATTTTCTGTTTCATTCGTAAACATTTGTAACTTTTTTCACTGATAAACAGCTTTGAAAGTCAATGATAGGATGGTAGGTTTCAATTTGATAGGTACACGGTAGTCTTGCACAGCCCCCTGTTGCCAGTTTTTTGTTGTGTTGTTTGTTTTTTAACTTTGACTATGGAGAATTGTGTCTTTTCTACTACACTCAACGTGAGAGGGAAAATTGGTGTGAGGAAAAGACACGCTTCCAGACCTGAAATACTCTGGCAACGATTTTACGGCAGTGTACACCTGGGCACTGGAGGACGGTTTATGGATGGTATTTTAGAATATTTTTGTAGGGCATTAAGATATGTTTAATACAGTAATTGCTAAGAGATTGATTGCTTTGCCAAACTTTTCTGGGGACATCTTTTTTTCTGAAATAGAGAGGGTAAAAGGGACACATTTGTTAGAATACCAACTGGGGCTCTTCATCTTTAGTATGCAAAACATAGAAGTGGCAATAAACACAAAACAGGTTATAACAAGGGCTTGGGATGACTTTGCCAGGAAAGCAGCCAAGAAGCAGTGGCTCCCGAGAATTCCTGCTGTTGGGACAGTTCTGATGCACAACACCAATTTTTTTTTTTTTTTTTTTTTTTAAATTCTGAGACGGAGCCTTTGCCCTGTAGCTCAGAGCTGGAGTGCAAACGCGGATCTCGGCCTACTGCAACCTCTGCCTCCCAGGTTCAAGCAATTCTCCTGCCTCAGCCTCCCGAGTAGCTGGGATTACAGGCGCCTACCACCATGCCCGGCTAATTTTTTGTATCTTATTAGAGACAGGGTTTCACCTTGTTGGCCAGTCTGGTCTCTAACTCCTGACCTCGTGATCCGCTGGGTTTCGGCCTCCCAAAGTGCTGGGGTTACAGGCGTGAGCCAACGACTCCAGCCTACAACATCATTTTTATTGTCTAAGTGGTTTATGGCAAGGACATAGCTCTGCCTTCACATTCAAGGGCATTTGAGCTGACCAGAACCTGCCAGCTCTGCACCTTAGGGTGCCCATTGGAGTATTTATATATAATCACATCATGGAGAGGCCAGCGATGGGCTCAGGGATTACGGAAATGACCTTCATGAACAAGATAGTCCCTGCCACAAAACAGGTTTTCTGATCCACTGTGAGATCTGTTTTGATTGTCTACTGTGGTGGCTCTTGGTGGAAACTCTTCTCTTAAACCACAATCTGTAAGTTGTAAAGTTGTAAACTTTTCTCTTAAACCTCACAGTCTGTAAATAAGCTATGTGCCTATTCTGAATAGGAAGGACGTGTAAAAGTGGAAAATTGGGATTTAAGTGCTTCTTTGGCTAATTCATGATGAAATAAACTTGCCATCCTTCTCTGGAAAATTTCGTGTTTGTGGGTGATGGACTAGCAACCAGTCCCACCAGAGCCAATGAGAGGAGGTGGGCTCCCAAGAAAACACCTGCTGTGCCTCCCGCTCAGCCAGAAATGACCTCAGATATTCACCGGCACACTGCAGACTGGTAATATGACACTCTAGAGTTCCTAAATAGAATGCTTTTTTTTGTTATTTTTGTTTTTTTAAAAATTATGGCTGGGCGTGTGCCCATGCCTGTAATCCCAGCACTTTGGGGAGCACGAGGCGGGCGGATCACGAGGTCAGGAGATTGAGACCATCCTGGCTAACACGGTGGAACCCCGTCTCTATTAAAAATATGGGAAAAATTAGCCCGGTATGATGGCGGGCGCCTGTAGTCCTAGCTACTCGGGAGGCTGAGGCAGGAGAATGGCCTGAACCCAGGAGGCGGAGCTTGCAGTGAGCCGAGAACATGCCACTGCACTTCAGCCTGGGAGACAGAGTGAGACTCCGTCTCAAAAAAAAAAAAAAAAAAAAAAAAAATTATGCAAGTCCTGAAGGAAAATTATTACTGGAGGAAAATTAGAAAAATATAGATAAGCCAAAAGGAAAAAAATTAACTGTAATCCTGTAACCCACTTCTATCACCCACTTTGTAAATGCTATAAATATTTTGTGTTCTACATTGTTTTTTCTGTATTGACAGAAACTTGTTTTTAATACATAAAATAGCATTATACCGAACCTGTTGTTTCATAACTCTTAGCACTTTATTTGTGGTAAATAGCAGAAAGAGTAGAAGTTGAGTGTTCTCAGAGGAAGATTTGTCAAGCTCTTTACTATGCTTGGCAAATCAGCACATCAAAACATCTGGCTAATATGAGAACTTGTGCTTGGCAAGAGGTGGCAGTTGGTCATGAAGACGTTTAATGGATTCTCTGAAGTGGTGGCAAGGTGGCAAGAAGAGTCCAACCTGAAGCTGCAGAGCCTGGGATTGCACTGCATGGAGAAGGAAGGGTGTGCGTGATTCCATGCTCCTTTTCATCCTGGCCTTTCCATTCGGTCTGTGCAACTGTGGGCTTGGGTGCATTTATTTGCTGTTCTTGGCCTCAGTTTTCTCATCTTTAAAATGAGGGGAATCAAGCTGGTGATCTGTTTCCGAAGTCTGTTGCCATTCTGAAATGTTAGAGTTAAAATGTTTCCATTTCTTATTGAATTGACATTCCATCTCCAGCCAAAGAGAATTTGAGGATGCTTATGCTAGATGCAGCACAGTGCTGTCCACATTAGAAGGCCTCAAAGTGAAGGTTGGGGTGGGACAGTGAGGGTCAGAACACAAAACGCAGACCAGATCTCAGCAAATGAAAGCAGCCCATGCCCAGTTATGAGAGTCGTGATCCCTTCTATAACATCCCGAAAGGACAGGTGCACTGCTTATTCTGTGGGCTCTTGTGAAGCAGGCATTGTCGATGTGCTGACCCACTGACCTGGCAGCACTCCCCTGCAGTGGATTTAACAATCAGTTTTTGAGACTCTTCCCCATAACCTCCTGGCATGACTACTTATTAATAGATTAAGGAAAAGCAGCTCTACCTTGGGGCCCACACTGCTGTCCTAAATATTCCTAATAAGATAAACACAATGAAATACGATTAATCTTTTGGTTTGGCTGGACCCAGGAGTTAAAGATGATCTAGAGAAGTGTTTTGCAGCCCCTGCTGCTCTGTGATCCCCACTTCTGGGATTTGTTTAATTAGGCAGTTGTGGGACCAGCCTCTGGAATCTTAACACTCCCAATTTTTCTGATGTGTTTCTACTTTTATGGGTGAAGTTCAGCTTGCATCTCCTGGGCAGGCTTCCCTGACAGCAAATCGCTCAAAGTCATTTTCTCTGGCCAGTAACTGATGGTGGTGCTGTTTTGTGCTGGGTTGACAGCCAGCCACTTGGAAGGTAGACCCCAGCTGTCATTTTAGCAGATGGAGAAGCCTGCAGTGTGTGTGCCTTCAGTTTCTGCAGAAGACTGCCTGGCCTTTGCCCCTTGCAGGCTGTGGTGGCTGGTTTTTGCGTGTCAACTTGGCTGGGCTGTTATACCTAGACAGTAATGTGGATGTGCCTCTGGGGGTGGGGGTAGAGCCTTTCACACGGACTGGAGCGTCCTACAATTCAGTTCTGTTCTGAGACTGTTCACCTGATGTAGCCCGAGATCCCACAGGCTGAAGGCTCAGTCCCACAAGACTTCTTGAAAGGACACAAAGATAGATGTGTACCGCTGCCCCCCCCACTACACCCTTTGTTCTGCTCTCTAATCTTTGCACATACCAGAGATTTCATAAGTTCTGTAGCACCTGCTTTTCTGCACGTACCAGAGATTTTGTAAGTTCTGAGGCAAGGTCACAAGACGTGTTTACAAGATAACCTGGTTGCCGTGCCATAACCTGCTCTCCCGCCTCAAAGGTTGAACCGAAATATCAGAAATGGCAGGAACCAATCATAGTTAGTCAAATCGCCTTGTTCAAACACTAGCCAATCATATATCTGATTTGTATAATAACTCTATGCCCACTTTTCTTAGACTATATAACACTGCTCGGAGCCTGCAGCGGGAGCTCCTGCCTGTCTCTGCTCGCGAGCGAGGGAGAGTTCCAGGTTCGAACCTGTAATAAAGATCCTTGCTCCTTAGCTTTGACTCTGGACTCTGGTGGTCTTCTTCGGGAATAAACGGTCTGGGCATAACAAATGGGGGCTCGTCTGGGATTTCCCCCAAGCCCACCAGACCCCCAAGTCAATGGATCTTAATCTGTAGGTAAGCCGGCTTTGTCACTGTCTTGCCTCGCCCCCTGTCTGTCTCCCTGAAATTTCAAGCAAATCCGTAATCTGTAATCTGTATTGGTCTGTTTTGTAAGGGTACCTGCCCTATGGACACGCTAAAAGACAGCCACTGGGACTGGTAGGACGTCCCCAGTGCCCATCTGGGGGCCTCCCCATCCTGGGTTGCTCTGCCTGACTCAGGTCGGAAGTCCGACACGCCGCCGCTAAGGCTCATCAAGCTACCGGTCTGTCCGTTATTGTTAAGTGTTAAAATGTCCAAAAACTAAACATAAAAACGCTTTCTTCCTTCCAGGAGCGGACTCGTCGGATACTCCTCTGCTTCACACTCATTTTCTCCCTCCTTCTCTTTGTAGGAGCAGTCCAAAGATGGGCAACAACCAGAGCACACCGCTCTCACTCCTTGTTACCAATTTTAAGGATGTGAAGGTTCGGGGCGAATC